TACATAGCAATAGCTTGTTTGAAGATTTTCAGGCAGGATTTAGAGCTCATCATAGCACAGAGACAGCACTGATGAAAATGACTAATGACCTCCTAACTGCATCATACATAGAACTTGTCACCATATTGGTTTTACGAGATCGTAGTGCTGCTTTTGACACCATTGACCATCAGATCCTATTACAGAGACTGGAACATTTAATTAAAGGTTTATAGGAGCTGCTCTACGCTGGTTTAGGTCCTATTCATCAGATCAGTTTCAGTTTGTGCATGTTAACGATGAGTCCTGCATCCATGCCAAAGTTAGCTATGGAGTTCGAAAAGGATGACCTCCTAACTGCATCAGACATAGAACTCGTCTCCATAATAGTTTTACGAGATCCTAGTGCTGCTTTTGACACCATTGACCATCAGATCCTATTAACGATAAGTCCTGCATCCATGCCAAAGTTAGCTATGGAGTTCGAAAAGAATCTGTGCTCTGACCAATCCTCTTCATGTTATATATGCTTCCTTCAGTTAATATTATCTGGAAGCTCTCCATCAACTTTCATTGTTATGCAGATGATACTCAGTTATATCTATTGATCAAGCCAGATGAAACTCATCATTTAGCTAAGCTTCAAATCTGTTTTCAGGATATTAAAACCTGGATGACCTGCAATTTTCTAATGTTAAACTCAGATAAAATTGAAGTTATTGTTCTAGGGCCTAAGCACCTCTGTCACGCATTATCTAGAGATATAGTTTCCCTGGATGGTATCGCACTGGCCTCCAGCACCACTGTGAGAAATCTTGGAATTATCTTTGATCAGGATATGTCGTTTACCTCTCACATTAAACAAATTTCAAGAACCGCTTTCTTTCACCTACGTAATATTGCAAAAATAAGGAGGATCATGTGTAAAAATTATGCAGAAAAAATTGTCTATGCATTTGTCACTCCTAGGCTGGATTACTGCAACTCCCTATTATCAGGCACTTCGAAAAAGTCCATTAAGACTCTTTAGCTGATCCAGAATTCTGCAGCACGTGTTCTGACAGGAACGTAGAGATCGTATTCCTCCTGCCTGGAATTTGATATCCTTCTTCTTACATACCAAGCTCTTCATGGTCAGGCACCATCTTATCTTAAAGAACTCATGGTACCTTACTGCCCTACCAGAGCACTGCGCTCCCAGAATGCAGGGTTACTGGTGGTTCCTAGAGTTTTCAAAAGTAGAAAAGGGAGCCAGAGCATTCAGTTTTGAGAGTCCTCTCCTGTGGAACCAGGTTCCAGTTTGGCACCGGGAGGCAGACACCATCTCTACATTTAAGAGTAGGCTAAAGACTTTCCTTTATGATAGAGCTTAGAGTTAGGGTGAGTAGAAGTTATGCTGCCATAGGTCTAGATGCATTAATGCATGTTAGTAATTGGACTTTTCCCCTTTCCTGTAGTCGTGTGCTTTCTCGTCCCTCTCCTCTCTCCTCCTATCACTTCCTGCTGGTGTTCTTGGAGCTGTGGAGTCTGGATATGTGGTTGGGATTCTCCTCCTATCACTTCCTGGAGCTGTGGAAGCCAGTTCTGTGATTTGGAGTCTCCTGCTGCCCCTGTGTCCCTACTCTTCTACAATGACAACCACTGTTCATAGTCTTGTTGCTATTATTACTGTTATCATTATCATTACTATCAATATCTTTACCATTTTTCATCCAATCCATGTGTTACTTTGTAGGCTGCCTCCCTCCGCTCCCTCCGTCCTTCTCTCCCTCTCTCTGCCTCTTAATGAAGTTTTGCCTTGCCTGTGTCGCCTAGTGCTTGCTCTTGGTGGGAATTTTTGGGCTTCTGTAAATAACTCAGAGTAGGGTCTGACCTGCTCTGTTTGTAAAGAGCGGTGAGATAACTTTTGGGCCCTATATAAATAAAATGTAATTGAATTGAATTGCATAAAGTTTGCTTTAATTATCAACCTGTAGACTGTGTGAAATTGGGGGGTAAGAGAATTCCAGATGTTGTATTAATAATGCCTAGATGCAACACAAGTCATATTCGAGTATACCTAGATGTATGGATCATAATTCCTAAATATGCTACTTTGACTGTAATAGTGTTCAACAATATTCCAAATCCTACGAATATTTCAGATGCAATAGCAGTGCCAAATGCACTTGGTAGCAAGTGAGGATGAAATACAAGAACATCCTTCAGAGTGGTAGGTTTATAGTCACATCAGTCTCCATATTTTCTTATCTTAAAATGAGATTTCTTTCATTTTTTCAGACAAAGGTGTGTTGTAACATCAAAATATGTTTGTTTGTAAAAACATAAATAAATAAAATAAAAATACCAGGATTAAAAAGTTTTATATTAATAGTAGCCTGTTTTTGTTTCCAGCTATCTAGAAAAAAGCATGTGAGAAGGGCACTGGTGGAGGCACTGGTGTCATGTGTTTTGCACAGGAGGTTGTAAGTGAGAATAAGGATGTGGGTAAGGACATCCTATATTATGAACAGAATCGTAGACAAAGAGAAACCTTGGTGGAATCCAAATCTCACCAGAAACGAGTCCGACTTACTACCGGCGATGCAACCAAGTTGTGACTCCGGTCGTACAGGGACCTAACAGCCCGAGTAACAAAGGGCCTGGTATCCCATATTACCGGAGCTACCCCCACAGGATTCCCAGAGGGACACGACACACAAAACACAATGTGGACTGGTTGGGCGAACTCCCATGCAACCTCCAGGACCCTGCTCAGGGTATTGAGCTGTCCAGCATTCCTTAGCCACGACAAAAAACACACTTCTCCTCCTGAATCTGAGGTTCGACTATTCGTTCGGACCCTCCTCTCCAGAACACCTGAATAGACCTTCATAGCGAGGCATAAGAGTGTGATTCCCCTGTAGTTGGAACACATTCTACAGTCCCCCTTTTTGAATAGTATGCCATCCAGTGGAACTGCCCCTGATGTTCACACGATATTGCAGTCACGTTAGCCAATGCAACCCTACAACATCCGCTTCTCCTCCGTGAGACGCCAGATGGTGGACCAGAATCGCCTTGAAGCCGTATGGAGTTCTTTTTCCATGGTGTCCCCTAACTCCTCCTACTCCCGTCTTTTTGACTCAGCCATCACCCGAGTGGTGCTGCTTGGACGGCTGATACCCATCGGCTTCCTCTGGAGTCCCACAGTCCAAGAAGGCCTGATAGGACTCCTTCTTCAGCCTGACGGCACCCTCACCGCTGGTTTCCACCAGCGGGTTCGAGGATTACCGCCACAACAGGCACCCACAACCCTGCGTCTGCAGCTCCAGGAAGCCGCCTCAACAATGGAGGCGTGGAACATGGCCCACTCTGACTCAATGTCCCCCACCTCCCTCGGAACGTGATCAAAGCTGTCCCAGAGGTGGGAGTTAAAGCTATGCCTAATGGAGGGACTCCGCCAGGCGCTCCTAGCAGACCCTCATAATGTGTTTAGGCCTGCCCGGCCTCACTGGCAGCGCCACCTGTTTTACAAAGCACCCGACCCCTGTGGTCCCTCCCATGGCTGGTGAGGCCATTGGAAAGGGGCTCCATGGGTAAAGCCCGCCACCAGGCACTTGCCATCATGCCACACCTCCAGGCCTGGCTCCAGAGTGGGGCCCCCGGTGACCCGCTTCCGGGCAAGGGAACACCTGGTCCATCCATCCATCCATCCATTATCCACCGCTTATCCGGGGTCGGGTCGCGGGGGCAGCAGCCGGAGCAGGGAAACCCAGACTTCCCTCTCCCCGGCCACTTCAGCCAGCTCCTCCGGGGGGATCCCGAGGCGTTCCCAGGCCAGCCGGGACACATAGTCCCTCCAGCGGGTCCTGGGTCTTCCTCTGGGCCTTCTTCCGGTGGGACGAGCCCGGAACACCTCCCCAGGGAGGCGACCAGGAGGCATCCTAAACAGATGCCCGAGCCACCTCAACTGGCTCACCTGGTCCATTTAAACAAATCATCACAAGGGGTCCTTGGGCTGCAATTCATCCCTCGCCTAGGACCTCTATTTATTTATATATATATATATTCCCAATCTTGAGTGGCACGGTGGTGTGGTGGTTAGCACCGTCGCCTCCCAGCAAGAAGGTTCTGGGTTCGAGTCCCAGGGGAACCAGGTCCTTTCTGGATGGAGTTTGCATGTTCTCTGCGTGGGTTCTCTCCGGCTTCCTCCCACAGTCCAAAAACCTGCATTCATTGATTGGACATTCCAAAATTGCCTTTAGGAGTGAATGTGAGTGGTTGTTTGTGCTTGTATGTCCTCTGTGTGGCCATGGTGGACTGTCCAGGGTGTACCCTGCCTCTCGCCCGTTGACCACTGGGATAGGCTCCAGTTCCCCCCGTGACCTCATCAGGGAATAAGCAGTATTGATAATGGATGGATATTCCCAATCTTGAATCTTTGTAAGACTAAAACAGTATTTCATCACAAATCTTCCCTAATTTTGTAGCACCCACAATTCCATCAATTTCCAGCAGTTTAGTTTAGTCTACAGCAAACATAAAGATTTCCTTGTTAAGCAAAAAGTTTAGGTTTAACTTTATTTGACCAGAGCACTGTATGCATATGTTTAGCCTCTTGGTGAACTTTTCCGTAAGCATGATATCTTTTTTTAAATGATCATTTACTTTTTAAAATCTCTATGAAGCCCAAGTGTACAATGGGACATACAAATCAGTCTCCACCATGGAGTTTGCTAGCTCTTTCAGGGTTACCTTTGATGTCTTGGTTGCCTCTCTGATAAAAAACATCCTTGTGTGTTTGTGATAATGAATGAATGCCCCTCACTTTTCAAGTTTGTTGTCGTGCTACTATCTGTCTGGTTTGTGTTAATGTATTTAAGGGCACTAGATGTTTCAGTATAACCCCAATCTCAATCATTACTGTCATGTTTAAGTCACACCCATCTGCTGAAAAAAGACCACATCGCTTTTGCAACAGATAGATTAGTAACAATCTTTTACAAACAACTCGACACAGTAAATGCATTAACACCCACCAGAATGTCCAAGCAGGCAGCTTTCAGGAGTGTGATCTGATCAGCAATGGTAAGCCCTGTGAAACCAGGCACTCTTTTGGCAAACTCCACAATTTTGATAATGCACTTAGTGGCCAGCTCGCTGAACTTGTCCCACAGGCCCAGGTCCAGCCTTACACGGTGGTCTGCACTTGAGTTCTGCAATACAGATATGCAAGAAAAAACATGTAACGTGTAAGGGAAAAGTAACAGCAACTTTTGCCATTGAGCAGAAGCTGTTAATTGTACCCTTAGATCACCTTCTTCCCTCTGCTTTATATTTGTCATTCTAACATAAATGGGTATCACAAGACCGATGCTCTCAAAAACATAGGCATAGGTGAATATCCTGAGCTGAGCTATTTGTCTGGATCCTATTACAATTATGAGGGATGGATGGACGTATAATAGCAATATAGAGTGGGCAGAAAGTAAAATCAGCAGATGTTTTTTGGCATTAGTGAAAAGGGAAATGAGAGACGAAAGGGAGGAAAGGTAAATATTGGATAGCAATCAGACTTCTGAATGAGGGGAAAGTAAAAAATGTGTAATGCATTCTTGGAGCTTTTGTGGAGAAAGCATAATGTTGGTTGAAGTGAGAACTATTCGTTGTCAATGTATGGGGCTGATACCTGTCTCACTTAAAAATAGTCAATGCCACATGATCAGAGCCTTGGGAAATCCATATTTATTTTAGAATATTTTACTTCTTTCACTCTGCTTTGAACATCTCCAAATATATCTGCAATGGTGGCAGTGCCTTTTTGATTATTGTAGTGAAACTATGCTGCCAAAAAACAACCATCTTGTGTGGCATTTAGTTGCTGAGGAAAATGCAGCTGTGATAAAGTCAGTGGTAAAAAAGACAGAGATAATGATATTAGAGATTTATGTTTGATGTGTATAGATACACAAATAAATTAAGTGGTATCTTGTCAGAACTGATTTTTTTTGTGAACAATCAAATGCTGCTAATTAAATCTTACCTAGCTATATCCATCCATTGTCTATGCTGCTTATTCATACCAGGGTGGTGGGATGTTATATAGTTACAATATATATCTGCATTCTAAGTAGTAAAAAATATTTATCTAAACGTCATTAAAAGAAAAACCTTTGCAAATACTTTTTGATTTTGTGATTATAGGTAAAATTGTTAATAGCAAATATTGAATATAACAATAAAACACATGTAAAGCATACAGATATAAAACTGTGCTAAAAACTTTCTAAGGGAGTGAAAAAGTTGTAAACAAAGGAAATTTATACCATTGAGCCCAGAGGGTTAATGAAGAGTTGTTATGGTGACTGTGCTCGCTTCTAGAATGCATTATGTGAAATTATAAAGAAAATGAAAACATCAACCTGTACAGTGTAGACTGTGTCATCATTTTGGGCTGCCTTGCTTCCTCTGGACCAGAAAACCTTACCAGTTTTGTTAGGATTTTTGCCAGAACATTGAACTTTACCTTCAAGCAAGGTATTGTCATTACCTCACATAACAAACCAGACCATTTGAGAACACATGAAGCTTTGTGTGATGGTTAGTACCATCACCTCACATCAAACATGTTCCAGTTTCCAATCTCAGCTAGGGGGGATTTCTGTATGCATTAATGCTCTCCCTCTTTATGGGTGTAAGGTGCATTATTCCACTGAAAAGCAAAGGAAAAAATATATAATCTGCTCTTTCATTTCTACTTATTTTAATTAATCCAAATCAGGGTAATAAGGCTGTACCCTATCCCAGCGTTTGGCTGAGAAGCAAGGTATACATTGCCAGTCAACCATAGGGCAAGATAGAGCCAAACAATTTATTCTTAAACCTAAGTTTGGAGACACCAATTAACATAGTGTTTTTTTTAATGAGGACGGCATAGTGGTGTTGTGGTTAGCACCCTTGCCTCACAGCAAGAGGACCATGGTTTGAGTCCCTGGGGGACTGTGATCTTTCTGTGTCAAGTTAGCATGTTGTCCCTGTGTACGCATGGGTTCCCTCTGGGTACCTTGGCTCTTCCTACTGTCCAAAACATGCATGTTAGGTTAATTTGACACTCTCAATTGCCCCTAGCAATTGAGAAAATGCCCATATGTAGTTGTTTGTCTCTGTGTGGCCCTGTAATGGACTGGCGACCTACCCAGTATATAGCCCCCCCGTAAGCGGTATAGATAATGGATTTATATTTTGATGAGAGAATCCACACAGGAAGGCCCCAGCCAGGATTCTGTCATGAGCGGGGTATTGTTTAGATTTTTGGTCTTTGTGACAGTCTTGCCACTGTGGGTGCCCCGACAGAGTCTCTTGACCAGAGTTTTGTTCGTTCAGACGGTTTATTTGTAGAGCGTGTGTGCCACACGCACACACACTCTCTCACACACACGCACACACACTCACGCACACGCCCGGCTTGGGCTCTCTGGTTTGTTGGCAGTCTGGTTCAACTGCTCGACCTGGTGCTCAGGTCATTCTCCTGTTCCGGCTCTGCTCTCCCTCAGGTCCAGCACGCTACTCTTTTTACAGAGGGGAGAGTGATTAGCCAACTGGTTCCAGCTGTGCTTAATCACCTCCCCTGGCACTGCTCACCTGAGCCTCTTCCACCCCTCCCCCCTGCAGCTGAGCGCCACGCCCCCTCCACAGTCTTATTTCTTAGTTCTGTTTTCCATGCTTTAGTTCCTGTGTTTCATTTTAGTAGCCTTATGTCTGTCTTGGTTTCTGGTTTCCTGTTTTACTTTAGTGTCTTTTTTCGTTTCCCTGTGTTTTCCCATGGTATCTTAGTTTACTGTACTTCTCTCAGTTTCTGGTTTTCGTTCATCTACCTCCACCCATGTTTCTCAGTGACCTGGCTTCCATTTCAATAATCACATACCCCTCTATAGAAGCCTCTAGATAATTTCACACAGTGCCAGATCCTTAATTTCATAATATCAGAACTTTGTTAACGTCATATCTCCATCTTGATTTCCTTCCATCCTTCCTAGTCCTTTTCCCTTTTGGCATTCCATTGAGTTCCTTGGTTTTGTTAGGTGTAGGTTTTCTGTTGGTTTGTTCCAAGCCTAGTTATCTCTGTATCTGGCTTCTGCTGTGCCTTTTGATGTTTTTTTTTTCTTATAAAAATGAGTTTTTCTTGAGTTCCTGGGCCCTGCAAATAGATCCTACCCTTCACCACCACACCGCCCTCCAATCCATGAGAGATTCAACCTGAATCTGACTTGCTTTCTATGGCAGCATCAATTGCCACAACGCCGTTCTGTCCTAAGATCAGTTAAATCATATTTACCATACTGCTAGATTAAATAAACAACAAACCTTGCTGTTAACAAATTAAACCAATTACTGTTGCTATGTTTGTACAATTAATTCAAGAACACAATGATACAAATAGCCAAATCATTGCCGTCAAAGAAAATCAAGATGGAAAGACAAAAAAAATCTGAAGCTTTAGCCAAAAACGTTTTTTATTCTGTGAAGGTTTTACATTTTCTCAAATTAGGTAAAGATCCATGATAATCCTCAGATGGCCTACTCAGACCAGAGGGTGTTTTAGCTTTGTAAGAAGAGCAGTTGCCATCTGGAGGGTCTTTGAGTTCAGACCCAAATGTTTTGTTACTGATGCCAAATCATGCAAAACTTAAAAATACAGTAGTCACAAAACAGAGATGTGTCCATGTGACTT